TCCTTCACCCAGCTGTTTCCATAGCATCCGATTATTGAACATGTTACGGTAGTATTTTCATGGGCCTCGAACACGGGGTGGTGACTCCACTGGCTATCATAAATTTTCGAACGATAACCTCTACCGCTGTCAACCGCTTGCTCAACCTATATTTTAAGCGCATATTAACCCATCCACTAGTTCCTGATTCTTTCAACTCATTTACCGGTTAACGACGAGTGATACTCCTGGTTTCCTCACAGGACAACTTCTGCGTACGCTAGGCCAATACTGACATCATTTGTCTCCCACATTCACCAAATTTGGGGTCTGGTGCATGCAAGGAAAAATATGGATCTGATGTATAACGTATTCTGTCATTCCATTGCATTTAACCTGCAAAAGTTATCGTAAATTTTATATTTATACATTAACATAGTTTTGTTCAATTTCCTTGGCAGTTTGCTAGGTCCGATTTCTTTTCGCCCTTGTTCTGAAGGATAACCGTACCTGCACGGAACACCTCCGAGGACATACCTGCGACGCTTCCATTGACACGGTTTCAACACACAACAAAGAACTCACCCGTAGGTCGCAATTCTGACACGCAGAAGGAACCCAGAAAACTAATCAAATCAATACAAGTCAATTGTCGTGCGACTTCAATGGCTCCAAGCACTTGCAGTCGACGCCGAAGTAGACTACACAACCATGGGAAACAAATTGGCGAAACGTGGCTGCGAATATTCGCGAGGGCAATCGGTCAGGTGCAACCTTGTCAATGTCATATCGCCAGTCGGCAGTGTTCCAGGACGTGGTGGGTCTTTGCCTGGTAAGCGTTTTCTCTACAAACAGCCACAAATGTCTGCTTAACAATAATGTGACGTGGCAAATATGACTCGCCACTCAATAAAATCACCGTCCCACGAACTTGTTCACTATTTTGCGCGACTTAGTTCGCTGAGACGCTCTTCGTTTAATAATTCTAAATGATGCATGAGGGTTTTCACACGTGCGGTAGTCAAGTATGTGTCGTGTGATCGATCTGTCCGGCAGCTTCATACATATCGCGATTTGGTTCAGCAGAATATGCTCTACAATCTTTGTGGACAGTTTCCCTCTTAGTTCGGCTAACGTACCCGCTACCGTATGCGCAGTGAAACAGGTAGATGCATGAGGCGGTAAATCGAGGGTCTGGCCTATCCAGCTTGTTTTTAAACAGCAATTTCTGCAAAACAAGGCCTCTTCAATAATCGGTGGCCGGTTATACGTCGTACTTACTCAAGCTGACGTAATTTGTTCAATTCTGTGTTATTCTGAAGTACTACTATGATATTTACCGCCCAACACATGCTTACGCACATCGTTGCGGACACGCCGGTGCCATCCGCCAACAGCAGTGCTTCGCATTCAGCGATCATCAAAGGCTTGAAAGCACTTCAGATCCTCAGATGGAGGGCGCTGTCTCGTTACCCTACAGTAGAACGGCCCGCAATGTGGCCTTGTAAACACGGCCTTTCGGATCGGTGGAAACCCCTTTCGACACTACAGATTCAAGAAGGCAGTTCTAACTTTTGCAATACGCAAACTGATTTCAGTGGTTTTGCACCCATGGTTGTTGATGCAGCTGCCAAAATAAGTTAATTGGTCAACTACCTGGAGTTCCTCCTTACCAAGGATCAAGTGATCACCAGACGCTGATGATCCTGCAACAATACTGCATCTAGATGGTGCGAAGCGTAGGCCAAATGATGGGACCACTCTAGAGTGGTTAATCAGGGTTGACTGGGTCACCCCAACCTCTTTTAGGAGTAGGAATATGTCGTCCACATAATCAAGTTCACCTAGATTTTTACCAGGCAGCTTTTCGACGCCTGCATCGTGAGATTCCGCAAGCGAACACTCCATGATGGAGTCCACAGCAAATTTGAGCAAAAATAGTGAAATTGGACAACTCTGACGAACACCAATTTTGTCAAGAAAATGTATGGTAAGTCACCTTAGACCCTGACGCGACATGTGGTGTTCGAGTATGAAACACTTCTGATGTCGTCTCCTAGTCGGGCTGTCTGTTTAAAGTGTGTTCACTGCTGAGTTATCTGCGGAGTCATGACTGACTATGACGCCATGCAGTGAAAGCCGCAAGGAGGCTGCCTCGCTCATTCCGCTTTATCTTTACACGATAGCTATCTGCTTATGACGATGTGCCGTTGACAAGGTGATGACATCTTGATCCTGAATTTTGCTTAGAGCATTAAAATTTTACGCTTAGTCCCCTCCTCTCCCTTTTACTATTCTTCGCTTCGTAAGTTGCCTCGATTTTTCGGCAGCGAAACGCCAGCTCAAATAGCAAATGTACTGCTGTTTGTGGTAATTCCTGCGAACACCTTTCCGCGTCCCGTGGCGGAGTTGTACGCTATCGGGCGCGTCCCCAGGTTACGGATCGGGGAATGCCTTTCTTGTGGAATTAACTGCGAATATGTCGCGTTTGCTTTGCAGGCGAGATGAATAAGCAGTCGCGGACAATCAGCGGCAGCGTCTCAGAGTGTGGGGGGTTCTGGGGTAGTCACCTGGTTCCTATTAACTACTGCAAATGTTTGTACGGCGCTGTGTCAAAGCCACTGTGACCGGCTATAAGGTCACTGACCACTCCTGTAACTGGGGGTGGGTATCTAACGAAGGGCGGATGAACAACCACGCTGGCCATCGGCTTCTCTGTGGACTGCTTCCGAACACAAAAAGGCGAATGAGCTATTTCGTTGCCAACGGTCTTCGTGAATCACCCCGCTGCCTTGCGGGTCAGGTCTTTAGATCAAAGGATCGGGATGGGGTCCCTTAAGTCAACACCCTTTCTCAGGCAACCGGGAAGCTCAACGCCTAAACAGCACATGGAACTTTTCTTCCATTCCTCTAACTCTCTCCTTTTTGTTATTGTTACTCATTTTTGTTGTGGCACTCTGCCACCACTTGGTGCAACGCGTATGGATTGAGGAGGTGCCTGCTTAGCTGAAGGATGCCCTTGTGCTACCACTGTACAAAGGCAAAGGGAGCAAGCAATGTTGAGATTCTGAGGACCTATCTGCTCCCCAAGCATGTTCATCAGTTAGCTCTGGCAGTGGTTCACCGGAATACATTGAAGCGGTTGGATCGCGTTGTCAGATCACACGTCAGAAAATGGCTGCGCTTGCCGTCAGACACCTCCATTGCATATCTTCACGCTCCCATTGCGAGCTTTGGTTTGGGTATTCCGTGTCTGTCAACGAGTATTCCCCTGCTACGGAAGGAGAGGCCAGAACGACACCTAGCCAACTGCGATCCAGTGACCAGTTGGGCGATCCGGGACCCTGAAGTCGCTGCCATCCATCGTCTAGCGCGCTCCACTGTTACCATCGGTAATCGCGTCGTCATGGATAAAAGCTCAGCTGCGGAAGCCTGGAGAGGTGCTTTTTTGCTTCAGTGGATGGCTCTCCCTTGCGAAATGTGGTCACGTCACCTTCCGCTCACCACTGACTGAGGGACCCCACCAGGATTTTTCCACGTCTTTTCATACGGGGTGTCCAACTACGGGGGGATGTTCTTTCTACCAAAACGCGACGGAGCAGATGCAGATCTACAAATGACCCGGCTTCTCTCAACTGCCGCGGGAGCTGCGGACAAAAAGAGACTCCGTCACATGTTCTTCAGGTGTGCTGCATCACGCATGATGTCCGCTGTAAACGTCACAATGAAATTGCCCAACAGATTGCCAGGCAATTGCGGCGCCGAAGCATTAACATTGTTGTGGAGCCGAGGATTCCGACAGCCACTCCTTCATCAAGCCAGACCTGCTTGCGGTTAGAAATTCTACGGTGCACATTGTGGAGGTGGCCATCTGTGACGCGTACCGAATGGATTGTACATATAAGCTGAAAGTGGATAAATACGGATCAGGGGAGAATGCCGCAGCCATATCGCGATACATACGTGAACAGTTTCCCGAGACGACAAATATTGTTCACCACCCCGTCGTTATCAATAAACGAGGGATGATATGTTCCACCTCAGCCAAACATCTTACCGCACTCGGGATGACATCACTTTATATTTCTGACCTCTGTGTTTCTACTCTTCGTCTGACTCTGAAGGTCTACGACACCTACATGCGTGGTGCATCATCACGCCTTACATAACATGCACCCAATCCCACACGGTGACAATTGACGCGGTTCCGACCACTGTTTGAAGTTTTTTTTATTTCAATCAGTGTTTCCTATTCTGCCGGGACATTCGTTCTCTCTTGGCATATTGCTGTACAGCTCATCCCTCGAGCCATGCATGCAAATGTCAAAAACAAATGTAAATGGCATCAACTTGCTGAGTTGTGTGGGCAAGATGATTGCCCGAATCTTGCTGAACCGCCTCATCAGTCAGGTTGGTAAACCTAACGTGGCAGAAGAGCAGTGTGGATTCTGTTCGGGTCACTACACTATATATATAGTGTTTGCGGTTCGTCAGTTGCAGAAGTGCAGAGAACAACACCAGCCATAGTGCTTTTTGATTTCACCAAGGCATTTAATACGATGAACCGCGAGGCATTGTGGCTGGTGTTGGGTAAGTTTTGTTGCCCACGTAAGTTTGTAATTTTAATTGATTTTCTGCACAGTGGTATGCGAGCGAGGGTGCAGCTGAGTGGAGAGACCTCGGATGATTTTACAGTTGTCTCTGATGTGAAGCAAGGCTGTGTCTTAGCTCCTGCCCTGTTTAATACCTATCTTCATGCAATGATGTCGTGCTTTTGATGCCGCTTGTGCTTACGGTGTTCGTGTGGAGCACCGTATTGATGGTGGGTTACTGAATATCCGTCGTTTCGGTGCGAGAACTCTAGTCTGCGAGACAACTATCCTTACGTTGCTGTTTGCTGACGATTGTGCATTGTTTGCACACAGCGCCGATGAGCTGCGGAACTTGACTAGTGCGCTAGCTTCGACAGCGGCCAAATTCGGACTCACCATCAACACAAGCAAAACTGTATATCTCTTTCAGCCTTCACCGGAGGTGCGATCATCAATATTGACGAAAATCAGCATTGGTGCTGAGGTATTGGAAACCGCCTCCCGCTTCAGCTATCTTAGGAGTGTGATGTCGACTGATCAGCAGCTACACAGTGAGCTGCGCATCAGCCTCTCGGAGGCAGCGGCGGCATTCGGAAGCTAGATTACCGAGTGTGGAACAATCATCAGCTTACCGTTGGCACGAAGCTGATGGTGTGTAAATTCGTGGTGCTGTCCTTCTATACGACAATGAAACGTGGGCGATGTACCGGTGGGATGTGCGATATCTTAAGCGGTTCCATCAATAGTTTGCGACAGATTCTGCGCATCGGTTGGTGCGACAGAGTTGCGGACACGGAATTGTTGCGTCTAACTGGAGTGTATGCGGTGGACTGCATACGTTTGCTGAGACACCTGTGGTGACTCGATCATGTGAGCCGTATGGATCCGACCCGGATACCGAAACAACTATTAGATAGTCAGTTGATTATTGGGAAGCAACATGTGGGGAAACCAAAGTTACGTTACCAGGATATGATCAAAGTGAGCCTCTCACATTCAAATCTTGATTGTAGGTCATGGGAATCGAAGGCGGTTTATCGGCGTGCATGGCGCGATCTGATCACGAAGACAGTTGACGAAGTGCGGGAGAAAGACCTCATGCATGCAGAGAAAAAGCGGCAAGCACCGATGGGTTGTACTCCATCGACATCGAGCGCATGGTGCTGTAACACATGCGGTCACGAGTGCCTGAGTCAGGCAGACCTAGTGAGCTATGGGCGAGACCACTCGGGACCAACATCGAAGCGACGACGAGTCCTGCAGAGAACGTAGACGGAACCGGCGCAGCGTTTGCAGGTACGCTGCATTCGACTGACTAACCGCGTGCTTGCATGCTAAGTCTCGTCATTTCAGGTGGTGAGTTTGCACTTTTGTCCTAATGCTTTTCTTTCTCTATTAATGTCTACCTTCATTATCTTCTATAAACCTGCACACGTCGCTGAATCTAATTGTTTTTAAGTTCGATAACTATTTCGCGTTTGTGGCATTTTCTTAAAATATATTTTTTGACCTCTTGAACTTATCGCGGATTTGTTTGTAAACAATTTATTTTATACGCCCATTTAGTGAAGAGTTATGCCGCCTTATCCGTATGCATTACTTGATTTATTTTATTTTATATTTACATTTCAAGCGGTTGGTTGTTGATTGATATCTCCGGTGTGGCTGCGCTTGATGTGCATGTTGACAAGGTGTCTACTTGTGTATTACTCACTACGTCGTCCATACTGGCTCTAGGAGACAGGTGGTCGTTGCTGGAGGGCACGGGTTGTACGGTCCCTGTAACCATGTTAGGCTCGAAAAGTGGTTCCATGCACTCAGTATGGAACGGACCACGGTCCAGCCACTGCCTTGTGTGCGCTTGATTCCCCAAATACAGCGTGCTTGTGGTTGCCTGTGAAGGAATGTGGGTCGGCATCGTCGATGAAACGCGACTCCCATCCACATGCCTCCCGGTCTTATTCCTTCGGGTGTACACTGGATATGGGGTGTGTAGATAGAGCTGTGGGTGGTGCAGCGCAAGCCATCCATGGTCCCTCTGTAGGCGCAGGCGTCCTGTGGCTTGCCACAGTGACAGGCAAATCCGAAACCGGATGCCGCCAACCATATGCTGAGGCTGATGTTGCATTCTTGATGCTTCTTCACCGCAGTTGGGCTAAACCAACTTACACTTAAACTAGGTCTCTTAAAGCAGCAGAAATTTCATTCCGCTTTTTTTGGTTTGTTCTGCCTCCCTGAATAATGTTCTATTAACTGGCCACGTTGCTTACACTAATTGCGCTTATCTTCGGTAATTTTGTTGCGTTTGTAGCATTTTAAATGACTTGTGGACATTTCTTACTTATCACGGATTTGTTGCTAACCAACTTACTTCATATGGTAATTTAGCGAAGAGTTATGCCGCCGTATCTGTATGCATTATTGGATTTATTTTATTTCAGCTTGTCGTTTAAATTGAATGGCTGTAGTTTGATATCCCTGGTATGGTTGCGCTTGATGTGTATGTTGACAAGGTGCCTACCTGTCTATTACCCACTACATCGTTCATACTGGCTCCAGGAGACAGTTGGTCGTTGCTGGAGGGGACGGGGTGCACGGTTCTTGTGGCCGTGCTAGGCTCAAAGAGCGGTTCCATGCACTCAGTGTGGAGCGGACTACGGTCCAGCCACCGCCTTGTGTGCGGTTGATTCCCCAAATACAGCGTGCTTGTGTTTGCCTGTGAAGGAGTGTGGGCCGGCTCCGTTGATGAAACGTGGTTCCCATCCGCATGCCTCCCGGTCTTATTCCTTCGGGTTTACACTGGATATGGGGTATGTGGTTGGAGCTGTGGGTGGTGCAGCGCAAGCCATCCATGGTCCCTCTGTAGGCGCAGGCGTCCTGTGGCTTGCCACAGTGACAGGCAAATCCGAAACCGGATAATATATATATATATATATATATATATTGGAGCGAATCGATTAGTGGCAATATACAAGAAGGGCAGTCGCACAGACTGTGCGAACCACAGGGGTATTAGCCTAACACCAGTTGTGACAAAATTACTGGCCTCGATTATCGTTCGTCGCCTCACTGCGGAACGGGAATCTCGGATTAGGGAAGAGCAGGCGGGTTTTTACCCAGGACGTGGCTGTATATATCATATATTTACTTTGCGGCAGGTGCTAGAGCAGCGCCACGCATACCGCAGACCGACAATAGCTGTGTTCCTCGATTTCAAGAGTGCGTTCGACTCAGTCGATCGATCGATTCTGTTCGAAATTACTTGCGCGGAAAGGTGTTCCCACGAAATATGTGAACATTCTTCGTGCTCTATACTCGAACACTACAGGCCGCGTCAGGGTCTATGGTGCCCTATCGGATAGCTTTTCGACTACAAGTGGCGTTCGTCAGGGTTGTCCGATTTCCCCGTTTCTGTTCAATTTCGTCGTGGATTCTATCATGGAGTGTTCCCTTGCGTAATCTCACGATGTAGGTGTTGAAGTGCTGCCTGGTGAACGGTTAGTTGATCTAGATTATGCGGACGATATCGTCTTGCTTTTCGACAATGTTGAGGCGGCACAATCAACCCTGAATAGCCTGTTTAGAGTGGTCCCATTATTTGGTATGCACTTTGCACCTTCAAAATGCAAGGTGTTGCTGCAAGACCACCAGCCACTTGATGACCCCCTGACGCTCGCTAAGGAGGAACTCGAGGTGGTTGATCAATTCACTTATCTTGGCAGCTGCATCAGCAATGATGGGCGCATAGAAACTGACGTGAGCTCACGCATTGCAAAGGCCAGAGCTGCCTTCTTGAACCTGCGTCATCTTTGGCGACAGAAGGGAGTTTCCCTCCGTCTGAAAGGCCGTATATACAAGGCCACAGTGAGGGCCGTTCTGCTCTATGGTAGTGAAACTTGGCCCCTTCGGTCTGAAGATCTGAGACGCCTTCAAGTCTTTGATCATCGTTGTTTGCGAAGCATTGCTGATGTCGGATGGCACCAGCGTGTCCGCAACGATGATGTGCGTAGGCGAGTACTAGGTGGTAATCCTCATGTGGTATGTCTAATCGCCAACTTGTACATTGGGTCTCTTCACAGTCTATGGAACTTATAGATGCTCGCCGGCATATACCGGCTGGAAGCGACCACAATGAAACTCGCAAAGAGCCCTGGGCAAAACTCCGTGCTAGCCTGAAGAGAGACCGCGAATCCTGGTGGTCTCGTCGTGCAACAGAGATGGAAATGGCCGCTGCCCTTGGTAACCATCGGGAGTTATTCCGTCTGATACGGGAAACGGGCAGCAGGAGATCTGGTGTTAGTGAAACTATACGTGACGAGAGTGGACAGTCTATCCACAACTTATCAAAACGCCTGGAACGTTGGGCTGAGCAATTTGAAAGGCAATTTAATCGGTCGGAATTGTTAGATTTCTCGCCGACCAGTGATCGCCCTGCTCCGTGGGCTGTTCCTTTGGATCCACCCTCTCGCTCAGAAGTCGAACATGAGATCGAACTGTTGAAGTTAAATAAAGCCGCGGGACCTGATGACCTTCCTCCAGCGCTTTTCAAATTTGGGGGACCTGCTATTGTGGATGATTTACACGAGTTACTAGTGAGACTGGGAGCAGAAAACTGTCCCAACCGATTGGAGCCGCTCCGTCATAGTCCCAATTTTCAAGGGATGTTCACGATCGGAATGCGGCAGCCATAGAGGAATCAGTCTGATCTCCATCGCCTCCAAATTGCTTGCCTCTGTCATCCTTCACAGACTGACTGGCACTCGTGAAAGCCAGATTCGTGAAGAGCAAGCTGGATTTCGTCGAGGTCGTGGCTGCATTGACCACATCTTCACCTTGCGTCAGTTGTTGGAGCACCGTCACATATATTGGCGGCCCACCGTTGTCGTGTTCCTCGATATCAAAGGTGCATTCGATTCGGTGGATAGACATGCACTTTGGGACTGTCTACTCAGGAAAGGTGTACCTGAGAAATATGTGAATATTATCCGAGCATTATATGCGCGTAGCTCGGGCAGAGTGAGGGCTTACGGCAAGTTGTCGTCGCCCTTTAGTATCTCCAGCGGCGTGAGACAAGGATGCCCGCTGTCACCTTTCCTCTTCAACTTCGCTGTTGACGAAGTCATGGAAATCGCGTTTACAGGACACGACTTAGAAGGTGTGGAGCTACTCCCAGGAGAACGACTTCTTGATTTAGAGTATGCTGATGATATTGCCCTGATCTGTGACAGCTCACAAACGTGCCAAGCGGCACTGGACAGATTAGCACTAGCTGTCCGTCACTTCGGGCTTTGCTTCGCACCCTCGAAGTGCAAAGCGTTTCTCCAAGATTGGTCTGGACCGCCTCCTACGCTGACCGTTGGTGGGGATCAGCTAGAAGTCGTTCAAAAATTCAACTACCTGGGAAGTTGTATCAGCGCCCGTGGGATTGAAGATGAGATCACGAATCGTATAGCAAAAGCTCGGGGCGCTTTTGCTAACCTTCGCCACTTATGGCGCCGGCGCGACATCACTCTTGCCCTGAAGGGTAGAGTGTACAATGCAGCAGTACGTTCGACCCTATTGTACGGTTGTGAAACCTGGCCGCTTAAAGCAGCGGACCTGAAGAGGCTAGTTACGTTCGACCACCGGTGCCTTCGTAATTTAGCTCACATTTGGTGGGAACACCGCGTGAGCAACGAGCGTGTTCGACGCCTTGTTTATGGCACAGGAAAAGGAAATGAACCGCTCAGCACCGTTATTTCACGCATCAGGCTCCGATGGCTCGGCCACGTGTTACGCATGCCAGCCCACCGACTTCCGCGACGTGTGTTGTTTGCGCGCCGGGGGTGTGGATGGAAGAAGAGGAGGGGTGGCCAAGCGATGACTTGGTCCAGAGGAATGAAGGCCCTCACTTCTTGAGCTGGCCTCGGTTGGAGCGTCTCGGCTCCCTGGTTGGGGTCCGAAAGACGATGAACACGTTTGGTTGGACACACTTGCTGATATGGCTAGAAGCCGACCTCAGTGGCGTTCGTGCTGTGAGTTTCTTTGTCCCACCCCATCCCTCTTAACCTCCCCCTCCAACCACGATCTCATTACTTAGCCTTATATAATTTTGCATAATAATTTTTTTTGGTGCACAGCAGCCGGCTCGTAGCTTACCGGAACGATGCCCATCCGTTACCGGTAGCTCAGCCAGCTTTCACCAGTTGTTTTTTTCTCCTTTTTCTTTGTATTGCGGCACAGTAGCTGAGGTGTTCCCCACCTCTAGCTAACGTGTATGATGGTGATGATATATATATATATATATATATATATATATATATATATTATGTGGTCAGTACGACCCCATCTTGGCCGGAACCATACTCTCTCTTCCCTTGTCCCAGATTTTTGTTCCGCAGTGGATTGACGTACCGGAATTGAGGCTAGTACTTTCGTCACCACCGTCGGTGCGGCTGTCTGTAATCGATTCACTTCATTTATCTGAGGTAGTATCTTCCTTCCAGGCTTGTATGAACAGAAAGGTCCGTGTTTTGCATAGGACTTCACTATCCTTTTAAAATTTTTCGGTTGCGAGAGAGTCTGAGCCAGCAACTCGAAGGCGATTGGAGACTGTGATCGCATTTGGACCTCAGCGTCCGACGGAACCTGTAAACATGCGGATGCGTTTTGGCGGACGCCCACGACGACGCTGTGGGCGCATTGACATCAGCCAAATGACAAAGCCAGCTGTTCTGAATGCCTATCAAAGTACGCTGATATGTGAGTTGAATAAGCGCTCACTGGAGGCAGTTGAAGGTCACTGGTCACATGTTCGCCAGACCTTACTAGCAGCAGGCAAATCCCCATGTGGTATGTCTAATAGCCAACATGGATATTCGGTCTCTTCGCCGGCATATCCCGGCTGGAAGCGAACACAGTGAAACACGCAAAGAGCTCCGGGCAAAACTCCGTGCTAGCCTGAAAAGAGACCGCGAATCCTGATGATCTTTTCGAGCGTCAGAGATGGAAGTGACCACTGCTCTTGGTAACCATCAAAAGTTATTCCGTCTGATACGGGAAACGGGCAGCAGGAGACCTGGTGTTAGTGAAACTACACGTGACGATAGTGGACAGCCTATCCACAATTTGTCAAAATGTTTGGAGCGTTGGGCTGAGCATTTTGAAAAGCAATTTAATCGGTCGGAATTGTTAGATTTCTCGCCGGCCACTGATCGCCCTGCTCCATGGGGTGTCCCTTTGGATCAACCCACTCGCTCAGAAGTCGAACATGAGATCGGACCGTTGAAGTTGAACAAAGCCGCGGGACCTGATGATCTTCCTCCAGCCATCTTCAAATTCGGGGGACCTGTTCTTGTGTATGATTTACATCAATTACTAGTCAAACTGTGAGAGCAGGAGACTGTCCCAACGGACTGGATCCATTCTGTTTTTGTTCTTATCTTCAAATGAGGCTCGCGTTCGGAATGTGGCAACCATAGAGGAATCAGTCTGATCTCCATCATCTCCATAATCCTTCACAGACTGACTGGCACTCGTGAAAGCCAGATTCGTGAGGAGCAAGCCGGGTCTCGTCGGGGTCGTGGCTGCATCGACCACATCTTCACCTTGCGTCAGTCGTTGTAGCACCGTCACACATTGGTGGCCTACCGTAGTCGTGTTCCTCGACATCAAAGGTGCCTTCGATTCGATTGATCGATGTGCCCTTTGGAATTGTCTACTCAAGAAAGGTGTGCCCGAGAGACATAAATTTTATCCGAGCATTATGTGCGCGTAGCATGGGCAGAGTGAGAGCTTAAAGCAAACTGTCGCCACTCTTAAATATCTCCAGTGGTGTGAGACAAGGATGCCCGTTGTCACCTTTCCCCTTCAACTTTGCTATTGACGAAGACATGGAGTTTGCATTTACAGGACATGATTTGGAAGGTGTGGAGTATGCAGACGACATTGCCCTCATCTCTGACATCTCCCAGACGTGTCAAGCAGCACTGGACAGATTAGCACTGGCTGTCAGCCGCTTCGGGATTTGCTTTGCACCATCGAAATGCAAAGCATTCCTTCAAGATTGGTAGGGATCGCCTCCTGCGCTGACTCTTGGTGAGGATCTGCTAGAAGTCGTTCAGAAATTCAACTACCTGGGAAGTTGTATCAGCACCCTTGGGTATGAAGATGAGATCACCAACCGTATATCAAAGACTCGAAGTGCTTTTGCTAATCTTCGCCACCTATGGCGGCGGCGCGACATCACTCTCGCCCTGAAGGGTAGAGTTTACAATGCAGCGGTACCTTCGACCCTACTGTACGCGTGTGAAACCTGGCCCCTAGGATCAGCAGACATAAAGAGGCTAGTTACGTTTGACCATCGGTGCCTTCGCAGTTTGGCTCACCTCTGGCGGGAGCACCGCGTGAGCAACGAGCGTGTTGGACGCCTTGTTTACGACACAGAAAAAGAAACTGAATCGCTCAGCACCGCCATTTCACGCATCTGACTCCGATGGCTGGGGCCATATGTTGCGCATGCCAGCTCACCAACTTCCGCGACATGTGTTGTTTGCTCACCTGGAGTGTGAATGGAAGAAGTGGAGAGGTGGCCAAGCGATGACTTGTTCCAGAGGAATGAAGTCCCTCACTTCTGAGCTGGCCTCGGTTGGAGTATCTCGGCTCCCTGGTTGGGGTCCAAAAGACGATGAACACGTTTGGCTGGAGACGCTTGCTGACATGGCAAGGAGCCGGCCTCAGTGGCGTTCGTGTTGTGAGTTTCTTTGTCCCTCCCCATCCCTCTTAGCCTCCCCCTCCCACCACGATCTCATTTCGTGGCGTAATATAATTTTACGTAATAATTTTTCTTGTTGCCTAGTAGCCGGCTGGTAGTTTTCCTGAACGATGCCTATCGTTGCTGGTAGCTCAGCTGGCATGCAACTGTTGTATCTATTTTCCTTTTCCTTTATGTATTGCGGCACAGTAGCTGAGGTGTTTTCCACCTTTAGCTAACGTGTATAATGATGATGAGCCTGTAAACAACCGGTCCATGATTCAGCCTGCCTCACTTGGGTAGGAAGAGGTCCGGGAGCAGAGGGGCTAACTTAACTGATCTCGAAAGTACTCCGCCTACCCTATTATAAATCAGAACACCCGCGCTGTCCCTGATTGTCTCACTGTCACCCGGTTTCATGGGACGAGCTTACTATAATTTCCTACTGCTCTTGCGTCCACCATTTCTTGAGTCCTACTGGACCATCAGATTTTCTTGTCAGCACCTAAGCTGCGCTTTAGTTTGCTTCTAATAGTCCGTCTACTCACATTGTGCTCAGAGCGAGTCGGGAGTTTTTTCTGCATTCTAACAGGTTCACCGACCTTTCGGATATTTAATGACTGGTGTGGTAACGATTAATAGTTCCGTAAATAGGGACCTCCGCTTTGAAGTTCACTGCCAATAATAATACTAAATGATAATCGTCAGTTGTACGGTATATCGGCGCTTCGCTGCCGCTCTACCACCACCAGTTGCGTGTGAGCTGAGTAATCCGCGAGCACACCCGCCCCTACGCGGATTCGAACCGGTGACCTGATTGCCAGCGACGCGTGCAGACCATCCGGCCACCGGCCGTGAGAGCGAATGTTCGGTAGGCTTACTTGGTCGAGGACTGAGATAACCTCTCAGTCGCCAATCTAAAGAAGCGTTTGATACGCCTCCTGGTATAGTTCATCGCAAAAACGACAGTGTACCGAAACATGGTCAAGGTCGACACAAGTACTCCAGAACGGGCAAAAATTTAGAATGGAACCATACCATCTGTAGCTTATGGTAATGTGATCCATTTGGGTCCATTGCTGGCCAGTTGTAGGGGCACGCCTAATGGCACTTCGGCGCGTGCTGTCTCTAAAAGCGGTGCTACTATTAAACAGCCGGCGCTCCACACCCAGTTGCGACAGACGCTCGCCATAGTTCTTCCGGTCAGAGTTAAGTTCATACTTTCCACCTAGCTGAGCTTCTGAAGAGCCCGGACGACTTAAGCATTCATGTTCCCTGCGACAATAAAGATATCTGCACTGGTAACACTGTGAAGCAGCGTGTTCACTTCTGGGTAGAATGTCCTTGGCATCATCAGAACTGCAATCGGTGGGGGGCATAAGCGGAAATCACAGACAGACAGCGTCTAGTACTACTTCGTGAGTCGACTTCAATTCATGTCAAACGGCTGCTCAACCAATAGTGTCCAACCTTTGAGCTGAGAATAATTCCAACCCCAGGTTGGCCAGTGATTTTTAGCTTTTCCGGATGCATGCGAGAGAACAAACCAGGCGCAGTTTATTCAGCAACCTCGTGAGGGTAATTGGTCCTAGCTTCGAACAAACAACCCGTCAATACTCAGGGTGCCCAACGTGCATGCGAGTGCAGTCTTTTGACCTTTTTTCGTAGGATGTGTTGGGAAAGAAATCACTTAGCAAGCAGCCGACTGCTGCTACAGAGCCAAAGCATGGCCGGTAAGCCGTCACTCTCCCTCATGGATTGGACGAACGTGTAGCCACCACTGGTAATTGGACAACTAGCCCGAGAGCGGCAGTGGTTGCTTGGTCGTAAGTTCACTCTTCTAAATGTCTCCACGTGGGCTTTACATACCGTTCACGAATGTTCCATTTGACCTTTATGATAGACTGTGGGATCAGCCAAAACACCTCGCTTCCTCTCTCTCCGTCTGAAACCGATCTTTTCTCTTACATGTGGGGGGTTAGTGACCAAAAGTTCCGATCAATAGCCAAACATCAAATCAGGCGAGGGACGACTACTTCAGCTGGCGACGGAGTGAACCCTAATCACAATGTTCGTATCCTTTGATGATCTCATGTCCATACTGCAGCAGTAACAAACACAATTTGAGTCGTCCCAACTCAGGCTGATAGAAGCTTACTCGTCCGCATTGGTAGACACCCTCACTAACAGTATTGCCGAATTTTAATGCGATCCTGATCCTGGCATCACCTTTGAAGCCTGACTCAGACGTTGCGAAGATGTGTTCCGCATTGAACTTGGAACCGCAGCGAATTTCAGGTATACCAATTTTATCTTGCCAAAGAATGCTCGAGATTGTACTTTTGATGAGACGGTCAAGTGTTTGTGCCAAATATTCTGAGAGTAGCCATCCAGTTTCAGCAAGCGATTTCAATGTCTGTAAATGCGCGGACTACTAGGTTACTTACGCTGGCATCGTCAGTCGCAAGTGCGATAAATTTGACTTAATATCCACTACGACTAATCATTTCACATGTTTGTTTTTCATCTGCGACCTACATTCCCCACCAGATGCAGAGATTCGCACCAGACTGCTGAGCATATTTGTTGCAGAACTCAATCCTTCAGGGACAAGCGTTTATTCAGTAAGGTCAAATTGGCGAAAATTGCAATACGTATAAGTTGCACGTTGAAGTCTATAACTAATGATCCCTATGAGTTGATAAGGTTTTTTCCTTTGCTTCAGTTAAACAAACGGTGAATCACTGGCATGAATATCGGTCAATCCGAGTCCAATAGTCGAATCCGTTACGCCCACCTCCCAGTGGCTATCTGGGCCGCTCGATTGATCCATCCTATCCGGGAATCAGATAAAAACATAAAGGAAAAGGCTATGAAACTTGCAACACACGAACTACAAAAGAAAAGAAAAATGGGAAGTATGTAATGGTGACTGAAAGCTGGGCTGAAGGGAATCGCCTTCCCCGTGCGGTCGATCAGGCGATCGATCGAGCGGACGAACGCGTTTTCAAACACCCAGCTAATTGTACTTTTGCCTCAGAGTTGAGAGTACAGTGTTTCGGCGGCATTATCTGGCTACGTTGGCAGCTTTTAGTTAACACGCTTTTCGTAGTCAAGGCTATTGGAATTTTGATTTTTCTTCGGCTGTGTTAGAATTTTTGCGGAGAAATTTTTGGGTGGTTAATTCGGAATAGCGAGAAAAAGTGAAGGTCTAACAATGGCGAGGGACAAGCACGGAAATGTTACAAATTTTTCTGCCGAACATTCAAAAACTGCTTCGTTAGGCGGAAACCTCCATCGTCCGTTTGACTTGACCTGACCTTCAGCAACAATCCCAAAGGGAAGCACAAATAAAACTGATTGAAAATTTAACGCAGTGCTTAAACGTACAATCAAACGGAGCAGCTACACTGGACACGCAGGCTGTTTCACTTGATCTTACGAATTCAATCACTGAATTTCATTATGACGCTGATTCCGAATGCACTTTCGAGGCGTGGTTCGAACGCTGGGAGGATATGTTCCGGACATATTTCAGCCGTCAAGATGATTCATGGAAAGTGCGTCTTTTGCTCCGCAAGCTCGGTACAAATGAACATACAAGATTCCTTGATCACATATTTCCCAAAGAGCCGAAGGA